GGGATTAAAGTTAAGGTAGCCGTTTTCGCTTACACCAATTCTTACACTTCAACTTTGACCCCGATTATCTCGGCTCCTGTGAACGATATCACAATCATATTAACTGATAAAATATTTCTGATAATACAACTAAAGTTTTATCAGTTGCCAGATGTTTGATATCTCTTATGGGAATCGAAATAATTGGGATCAATTAAACCTCAATTCTTTCAGCCGATTGTGAGGAGTGTTCATGTGAATGTGGAATTGAGCAGTGCTCCAATGGTGCCAGTCCTGTCAAAGTGATTCATAAACAGATGCTGTTGCCGTGTGCGTGTGATTGCACATGCACTTTTAAGTGTCTATAGTCGTCTCTATTCGGCTATTTACCGTAAAACCTCTAATAGAACGACACCCGGATCGTCCNCCCACGTTTTATTGAATAGACAATAGCAATTAAGTTAATTGAGCTCAACGTGTATACCTATAGAATGCGCTTCTATTTGAGTGTTTACGGTTGTTATTTTTAACCTATTAAAAAAACATACCGCTGGATTTCTAGAAATTGCCAATTTCAGACAATCAACTGCTCTGGCAAAATTCCTATTAAGATTGTACAACACGCCTAGCGCATTCTGAAGATCTGGATCCGGCGTGGCACCTTGTTGACGGGCGGCATCTAGGAATCTGGCTTCTACTCTGTTAAACGTCTCGTTATCCAGGAAAGATGAGTACATTGGCGCGTTGTTGGTGACTTGGGTGGTGTTGGAACCCTAAAAACAGATTAGATTTTTGACTAGACGTTTAGGAACGTACCAAATAAGAAGACATCCATTTATCCAACTGATGAAGTGCTTCATTTTCTTGTCCTTCGTTGGCTTGGGACACTGATAGTGCTAGAAGGGCATCCTTATTCCCGGCATCGATCTGGAGACACTTGTTGAACGCTTGCATTGCCAACTGATCCTTCTCATTTTCGGCATGAGCCAAGCCTAGCTTACACCAGGCTCCCGCATCCTGTGGATTCTTCTGGACTGCGGCCTCGTAAGCCAGCATCGCATTTCCAATGTCTCCGTTTTTCATCAAATTATCACCCTCTTGAAGGGGATTCGTTATAGACATGAAAGGGTTGGTATCCTGGAAAGGGACTCAACTTTCTCAATTTCTGTAAGAGATATCAAAAACGTGTCAACGGATAAAATGTCGGTAATATTATGATAGACATTTTATCAGTTGACACATCTTTGATACCTTTTACAGGTACGGAGGTAGTTGAGCTTGAAGCACAAGCTTGAAGCATCGTGGCTTGACGGCCATGACTCGATTCAAACTTGGAATTTGGGAAACAAGATTAAACTAGAGTTTCAGTCAAAAATCCAAATTTCAATATAGTCAAGTTAAAAATCACTTTTTGATTCGAGCAGAAATTTCAAGTTTGAACCGAGTTAAAGAGACTTCTCTAACACCACCTTATGCTCGTCACTTTGAGCTCGATTATCTCGGTTCCTATGAAAGACATCAGAAGTTTGTCCACTAATCAAATATTGCTCATATTGAGGCAAACATTTTATCAATTGGCACTATTTTGATAACTTCTGGAAGAATCGAGATAACTGAGCTCAAAGTAAGAGCATAATGTGACGTTAGAGGTGCCCACCTTTGCCGATTATATAACTTGGTTCGAACTGGAAATTTCGGTTTGAGTCAAAATTTTAAATGTAGAACTTGACGAGATCTACAAAATGATACTAAATGCTTCTATGTTTATATGCCGAGTTTCAAAACAGAAGTCGCAAAGAAACCGACCAGCACAACTCTGGCTAATTTCGCCTTATTTGTTTCACTGCCCGTGGTTGGACAGACAGCATTTAAATATGACCGAAGTTAAGATTATTTTGTAGACCTCGTTCAGTTCTACATTTCACTTTTTGATTTCAAGCCATATTCAAAGTTTGAACCGAATTATGCTCCCGGCAAGGCTGTGAACTAATTGACTCCATGGTAACCCACTCACGGCTTGAGCCAAGCCCGGCCGCGGCCTCGACTTGCGCAGCCTTGACGCCAGCCCAGTTCACAAATATGAAACATACCTGATAAACATATCCAGCGACATTCTGAATCGTCTCCTCCTTCTCCATATCCCTCTTAATCTCTTCCCATCGCTGTTCAAATGCCTGCTGACCATCCCACACTTTCTCCATTGGGTCCTGATTTCCCAAAAAGTCATCCGCCCAAGCGTTGCTGCCTTGTTGGAGGGAAGTGTCAACGGTGTCAAGATATTCAGAAGACCACATTCCAGAATCTTGGGGATGAGCAATTGAAGCAGAGGAGAGAGGCATAGCTTGACGCCACGCGGATTCCATTCCTTGGGATGTGGTACCAGCGGTGTACTGTTGGGTCCATTGTGTAGCTAGTTGGTTCTGAAACCATTTCAAAATAAGGTAAACTACCATAAACACTCTAAAATAAGGCCACACGACTCATCAACTTTCAGCCCCATGAACCGAGATATAGGAGCTCAAATTTCTAGTATGGGGTGACTTTTTATTAAAGTGTTTACGGTGAACTCTTTTAAAGGTCTTACTTGTCTCGGTTGAAACTCTTGCGACCAATTCATTGCCATACTTGATGCGGATGTTTGTGGCAAGTTTCGTTGCATGGACTTCATACTAAAACTTGTGGTGCCATTGTGTTTGCTTGTTGTCGTAGGAACTCGTTGGCCATTTGCTCACCAAGAGAGGAGGAAGGCATCATGGATGAAGCCGCTAAAAATTGAGGATTTGAATATTACGAACACCCAAAGTCCTACCTGTACTTGGTGCCACTCTTTGGTTTGATGTTCCAAAAGTGTTTGCCAGACCGACCAGGGCATTTTGTTGGCCACATTGTCCCTCGACGACTCCTTTCATTTTTGAGTCCCTTTAATAGAAGGTCCCTCAGAAAATGGCTTGGGAAAATAGAAGGAATTTCTAATGCAGGTTTTACGGTAATTAGAAAAATAACTTTGAAGAAAATGACTATATGTAAAGCTAAGATTTAAAAATGTTTCAAAATATTAAAATTTTGGAATGTTCCAGAAAGAAAAAAATCTATGCCAAAAAACAAGACCAATAACGAAACCTCTTTTTCGACCCCGGTGTAGTCCGATTGATTGATACTACACTTGGAGAGAATTAGAGATTACGATAAGATAGGAGACGCAGAGAGGTAGAGGGAAAAAAGTAGTGTCTTATCATTATACAGAAGATGGTCGTAGGGAGATAAGAGAACTCTTTTTTCAGGACTTTTATTGGGCCGGATCTGGTTTGGGTCCGATAACAAAGTTGGAATTGATACCTGCGTGGCTCCGCAGGACCTTTTTTGGGTGAAATCGTATGTCAACTTTGGAGTCCTACAAAAGTAGTTTAGAATTGTTCAATTTGATTGAAAATTTCAGAGTGTACTAAACAAAAATAGAACTTCCTTTTTGTAGTTGACACCTTTTTTGTAGCTTTTTTGGTTTTTGAGATGTGCGCGTTTAAATATCCTTCTCTCCTCTTTCTCTCTGGCACTGTAGCGGGTTCAATCTTTGAAGGCGCATATCTCAAAAACTAAAAAAGCTACAAAAAAGTTATTTATTGGAAGATGTGGGAAATTTTATTTTACACATTTTTATAATTTAAAATTTTTATGTGGCTTTTTT